CGTTATAATCATATTCTAATACCTATTACATTATATTTATGATTATATTAGTCTCTCCCACCCGTAATTCATAATATTTTTATTATATATTATCCTAGGCAAATATTATATATAAAGCTATTAACCTACCACGAAATAACCTTTTCAAGAAGCACCAAAAATGGTAACAATATTATACTTTAAGTAAAGAAATATGTAATAATTTTAATTAAATTATATTTTTCTTTAGCTTAATATTACTTTTTCTTGAAAATCAATTTCATTCTGAATATACAGATAATCATTATATATTTAATATATTAGATTTAGTATATTATTATGTAGATAATTACTAAGTGTACTTATATTATTAATTTAAATAAATAATATTTTTAATTAGATTTTTTATAATAATTCTTTTTTTTTTACTTATTTTCATATATTATTATTTATATTATTATTTATCATATTATTAATTATTAAATTATAATTAGTTATTCTTTGAAGATATGAATTAAATTAATTAATTCTGTTTAATCTATATATATTTTAATTATAAATTATTATTAATTTATTCATATTTCATATTTATTTCTTTTCTTATAAATATGATCTATCTATTCTGTACTTTTACTTCAGATCTGAATACTTTTAAATAATAAAAATAATCATAAATTATAAAATTAAAACTATTTATATTACATTTTATCTTATTTATAACTATTAACAAAATAATCTTATATAATACTAAAATTTTTATTATATTTATCAAGTAGTCTAAATAGAATATTGTCATGAATTTTTATTTTAATTTGATAAAATTAGAAAAAGAAATTATTATCAAAAGTATAATTAAAAAAAAAACTAGTATTAATCAATTTTTTATTTTAGATGAGTTTTAATTTTATTATTACAACTTAATAAATAAGAATTGATATAATAAATTTTTTTCTTTTTATATAGTAAGTTTAATATAATAAAAACTCTTAATTAGTCAAACTTATTAATATATCAGATCAAATAATATAAATGAAGTAATCTGTTATATTAAGATTAACTATATACTAATTAAAATTAAAATAATAAATAAAGTAATAAAAAAGATTAATGCATAATGCTGATCTTCTTATAACTTTAGGAGATCTAATGCAGAAGATTTCATTTGAATATTTTATTAGATAATAATAAAAATTTCTTACTTGTATCAAAATTTTGACAATAATAGCAGTATCAGCAACAGAATAATAATAACAATAACAATAATAGCAATAATTATAAATAAACAATGTTGAAGCTGTTTACTATTATCTTAATGAAATGAATCAAGTTATGAATTTTCTAATATTCTTAATTCTTATATAGATAAACATGAGGATAGATCATATTATGTAGATGAATCTGGACAGGTTATGAAAATAATGGTGATAATTACGTAATTTCTGGCCCTCTCCTTATAAAGAATTCAAATATTTATAAAATATATTAAAAATATGTTTATAAAAATATAAATAAATTAATTTATTTAAAATAATTTATAAAACAAGTTTAGTAATATAATTCTACTACTTGATTTGATGTTAATACTTGAATAAATTATAATATTTATTCTTTAATATATTAATTATTTTATAGCTTTTTCGAAAAAAATATAATACAAACTATTTACTTATAAAATTACCATTTATTAGTGTTTGAATAATAAAAAATGAAACAGCTTGTTATTGCTAGAATTTTATATATATATTAGTAATACTTTCACTTAAGCTATATACACATATTTATCCCTATTCTCAACACTTCGCTTAATATACTGTTTATCCAACAATTGTTCAATGCACTTTTTAATCATTGGAACGCTTGGTGTAAACCGAGACTTTGCTTGATCGATTACTTCTTGTACAAGTCTGTTGTGTACCAACATTTGTCGTGATTTCATTACACGCACAATGGATGCCTAAATTTCAAAATTAAGCATAATTATGATTGATTATCAATTAACAATAAATAAATATATTTATTATTTTCTCTAACCTGAAGATATAATTTTCGATCCTCATCTACAGCTCGCCGTGTTGCATCATTTTCTTGCGGGGAATCTGATTGAAGTGACGAGCTAATTTTGATCTTTGTGCGTTTACTTTATTCAATTTAGATAGAAAAGTTTCAGACTTTAGTAAATTCAGAATCTGAAATCTAACAAAAATAAATATTATTTACTTTGAGAATTCCATGTTCAATTTGATCTCGGTTGACTCTTTAAGTGAGCCGGTCGGTGTTATTATAAGTGCGGCTAAGTCAATCAACGGCTACAAAATCATGTGTGTTACATAGAGGAAAGGTTAAGATAAGAGCTAGCGACGACTTTGGTACCTACAGCAGTTTATCTGTACCTTCAGGACCCTTTTTAGTTCCTGTTCATTTAGGCGTGTGTGTTCACTAATTTCTTTGAATGTCAACATGTCAACAGCATTAAATAATAATAGAACACCAAGTTGGTAGAGTGATACTGAAAATTCGTAACGTTTGTCAAGATATCCTAATTTGACATCAGCTAAAAAGTCGTGTTTAATCAGTATCAATAATTAGAGACACTCGATTTTTTGATAATTTAGTTAATTACCTTTTGATAAGTGCCATAACCATGTTAATTTTCTGCCGCTGTGATGCTCATTATAAAATGACTCGAAATATGAGACACTCTTTTCCAGCTGAATGCACAAAAAACAAGCGCAAACATTAAAACATCAGAAATATCACGTAAAAAAGGGCTGATGAACTTTACCTCTAAGGGTAATTGGAAATCAGTAGTTGATACTTGTGTCAATGGCCACGCACCAGCTGTCAACACCAATATGGTAAAATCGACTGAATAAATAGAAGCAACAAAAGAAATTTAATAACTTTTTGGTTCCTGATAATAAACGAGAATATTCTATCCAATGCTGACCTCCCAGATTTAAGGGTTTTGCCTTTAAATATTCGCTAAAGCTACTATTTATATCTGCGCTCACAGTTATATCTGTAAACATTCGTTGTAATTTACTTGTATATTCGACACCGCAAATAGTCTACAAAATATGCAAATGTAATTAGATGCAAAAGCCAAATGAACAGCTCGAAGAACGAATAACAAACCTTAAGTCTCGATATCATATTTGCCTCTGCTTCGTCTGACACGGAACTGCCATAGATAAGACGCTTTGCAAGTAACCTCGAGTAAAACTTTTGGTACACATCCTTATCGTCTATATATTTAAAGAGGATAATCTGAAAATATGCAATTCAAATTAATTAACACAATTAAGGATTAAATCAAAATAAAAATGAATAGCTAGACCCACCATGTTATTCATTTTATCCTCGATATCTTGCTCGCTTATGCCACTCTTTTGATTTTTCTTCAAAAGCACGTCACAATAACGAGCAAGCACTTCGGGCGCTGCTGTATTCATCGACGGATCATTTTCGATTCTACGGAATGCTTTATCCACAGCAGCAATAAATGCCGGATCACTTGAGAATACTTTTTGACACACATTCATGTATTTGGAATGGAGACTCATCAGTGGTTCAACGTAATCTCGTGGATCCTGTGTATAGTATTAATTTATCATATCAACAAAATAATATTAGACTTTTGAGCAAAAGATAATTTTTAGAAAAATTTAAGTAAAACCTTCAATGTTCCGGTACCCATCCTATCCTCTTGGGATTTTTTCAATTCATCAATTTTTTCTTTCTGTTTTCTTGTTTCTGAGTCTTTGTTACCGTCTTCGATCTTCAGTTGTTGAATTAAATCATCAATTAGTTTCTCGTAGGATTTTTTCAACCCATCGGTTTTATCTTTTTGTTTTCTTATTTCTGAATCTTTGTTGTCGTCTTCGATTTTCAAAGTAGCAAACTTTTGAGTGAAGCCATTGATTTCGTCAGACTTCTTTGTTTCAGAGTCTTTGTCGTCAACATCGATTTCCACGGTAGTAATTCCTGGAGTCAAGTCATTAATTTCATCTTGTTTTCTTCTCTCTTCCTTTTGACTTAACTCTAATTCTTTTTTAGTTGTTATTAATTGACTAAGCTTCTTGGATATTAAGCCTTTGTTACCACCTTCGATTTTCAGAGCATTAAATTTTTGAACTAAATTATCTAAATCATCAATTTTATTTTCGATTTTCAAAGTAGTAAGTTGCTGAATTAAATCATTAATAGCATCAATTTTATTTGGTTTTTTTCTTTCTTCCTTTTGACTCGACTCTAATTCGTTTTTAGTTGTTACTAGTTGATTACTAAGTTTCCTGGATATCAAGTCTTTGCCAATTTGGGTAATGTATCGCTCAAAAGTTTCAAGTAGCGGATTGACGCCATCCGTAATACGAGATAAGAGATAATAAGCCATAGAACAATCTATCACAGACAATCATAAAGATAAATTTGATTTACATACATGCTCTAAACATGTATAGTTTGAACAGTAAAAATTACCGTTGTAACGTTCATTTGATATCATAGCCTCAAATTCATTATGAATTCTTGATTGATGTACAGCCACGTATTGTTTTTCGCATTCTTTTATCATCTATGTTTTATATTATTCCATGTAAAGTCAATTAATAGATACAATTCAAGTAAAGATAAAAAAGACCAGAACGTAACCTACAGTGTCATGAGATGAAACATGGCAGTATTTGCTATTTCGCGCTGTTTCTTGCTTTAATCTTTGACATGCCTGTTTTAGCATGTAAAAAAAAATGGGATTATTTTATTTTTCATAATTGGAAGAATTAGAATACCTTTTTTTATCTACCCACATACTTTTTCCATATATTCTGATATTGTGGCACTAGAAATTGTGATAATCGCTTCACGCTCATAGTATTGCTTAGTATGTTTCAAATAGGGTATCTCAAATTCTTCAATGTATAAACGTAAAGGGTGATCTGTAAGTGAGTTTAACTCGACTAATATAACAAGTGAAGACAATTAGGGAAACTAATAGGTAGCTTTTAAAAAGTTTACATATATAAAATTAATCGTGAATTCGTTACTATGCCTAATGACTGAATTGCCTCGGTCACAACACCGGGAACGTCACCTTCACCATCCCGATCTCGTCTAATCATTTCAAATATTTGATACATAAGGCGAATCTTGATGAAATCAACGACGCGTTCTTTCCATACTAAATAGGCTAGCTGCAAAGAATAATAGTTAATCATCATAATTACAACAAGCTAATTGATGTAAACCGACAAAACGCCATAAAAAAAATTACAAACCGCTTGTATAGTCTGCCTTCTATATTTCCCATCTCCCACCGTTTTACGCCTCTCTGATGCCGGGATACCGCCGGTATCCTTATTTTTTAACATGATCCTATTAAGGTAGTCACAGATACGACTTATATAAATGCTAGCTTGACTATAGCGGTTCCATTCTTCGGCGTACGCTTTGATAATGTCGTCACGATCCAGTATATTCTAATTTACCACTTGCATAGAATCAAAAAACTAATTCATCGATAATATTAAAACATCGTAAATCCAATAAAAAAACTTTCACTGACTCTCTTCTTTCGCATAGTATATTCTTCCAAAAAATATGCAATCGAGCAAAAGAGTTTTTCGGTATATGGTTTTGGTGTTGCTGTACACATGTCATATACTGATCTTTAATTTGACAAATGTAAAAGTCATCAGATAATATTCATTCGCTGAACTAGAAAATAATTTTGTAACATCATACTGGAACATGTTCATGCCAGAAACACGATCTAATCCTGAGAAATTATATATTTTCTCGAGATCACTTTCGAATTCCGTAAAAAGTTTATCGAAATTTATTTTTTTCGGACGAAGCGACATGGTTTTGTTTAAAGATTTAATAATTAATGTGTTGTCACCGAAAGCTCGAAATTATTACAAAGTTTATTAGCCTATCGGGAAATTTTTTGAAAGCAGAAAATGCAATCGTAGATCGATATTTACAACCATTGTCTCATTTGCTATCAAGAAAAAAAAAATGGATGACTACTTTATAGGTGTCGACGTTGGAACCGCGTCGGTTAGAGCAGCAGTTGTAGATTCAAAAGGAATCATATGTGGGTTATCAAGTAACGAGATTCGTATGTGGACCTCTCGCACAGGCTACTATGAACAGTCAAGCGACAATATTTGGCAGAGTGTTTGCCTATCTGTAAAACAAGCAACTGAAAAAGCTAACGTATTTGGGCCAAGGATAAAAGGCATTGGTTTTGACGCGACGTGCTCTTTAGTAGTATTAGATTTGACGGGAAATCCCTTGTCTGTTTCACCAGACGAAAACTTTCAAGAGAATGAACGTAACATCATATTGTGGGCGGACCATAGAGCAGCCAAACAAGCTGAAAAAATTAATGCCACCAAACATCATATATTGAATTATGTGGGTGGAAAAGTTGGCGTGGAAATGGAAACACCGAAAATACTTTGGCTTAAAGAAAATATGCCCGATGAACGATGGGAAGAAATTGGTCATTTTTTTGATCTACCAGGTAATATTAACGATACTTCAGGAGGACGATTTTATTGGGTACTTTAAAACATAATATTTAAATATATAGATTTTTTAACATACCGTGCAACTGGCTCATTTGCACGATCCGTTTGCTCGCTGACATGTAAATGTGGTTTCGTGCCACCTGACCCAAATAATAATGATCGTAGTAGCGAGAAAGAAAGTAATTTTGGATGGTATGATGATTTTTTTGAGGCAATTGGTTTGGGTGAGTTTGTTAAAGACAAGTATTCCCGATTAGGCGGTATTCCAGGCGTTAGTGGCAGAATATGGTCAGCTGGCCAGTTAGTTGGTGGATTGTCTAAACAAGCGGCAAAGGAACTGGGATTAGACGAAGGCACTAGTGTTGGATCGGCTGTGATCGATGCATACGCCGGTGCAATAGGAACTTTGGCTGCTCCGTTACCCATCTTAAAAACAGCACAACTTACAAAATCAAAAGCTAAGAATAAAGATGAAGACAATGAAATTTCTTCAATTTCAGCCAAATTTGAAGACCTTCCAGAAAAACTTGCAGTAATTTCTGGCACGTCATCATGTCATCTAGTCTTATCTCCAAAACCGATCTTCGTAAATGGCATATGGGGTCCATACCGAGATGTAATTATACCCAATTACTGGATGTCTGAAGGGGGTCAATCCGCCACCGGACAACTCATCGACTGGATTGTCAATTCACATCCATTCAGTAACGAAGCGAAAGCATTAGCCGAATCTCATAACCTATCAATCTACAGTTTTCTTAATAATCATATCATCGCAATGCAAACACGTGAAGGGGTAGAGTTTCCCGGACTCCTTATTAAAGATTTGCACGTTTATCCCGATTTCCATGGGAACAGAAGTCCTATAGCAGATCCGAAATTACGCGGCACGATAACAGGCCTATCGATTGATATTTCGATTGATTCGTTTGCACTTGTTTATTATTCGGCAATATTATCGATTGGCTTTGGCACACGAGAAATTATCGAATCGTTAAATAACGCTGGGCATAAAATAAGCACATTGTTACTCTCTGGTGGGTTATGCAAAAATTCATTGTTTGTCAAAACTATAGCCGATGCTACGCAATGTCAAGTTCTACTACCGAAATATATCGAGGCAAGTGTAGTTCTAGGGGCAGCTATGTGTGGTGCGAGAGCGTATGGTGTTCTTTTACCCAAAAAAGAGTCAGATGGTGCTGATAATGCTGCTGCTGCGAAGATAAAAAAGACTAGTGCATCTATTACTCATAGCGATAAAAATAATAACCTTGAAATGTGGAATGTTATGGTAAAAATGTCGCAACCGGGCAGTATAGTGCGACCAACCAACAATGAAAAAGAAATCAAGTTTAACGAAAAAAAATATAATATTTATAAACTGATGCGTCAAGATCAAATAAATTATCGTGACATAATGGAGAACGCTATAAAATAGCATATTTATTATTATTTCAAACATTCTATGTAAAAAGTACTATTTTTTCCCTTTATAATTAATTCGAATACAAAACATAAATTGTTAATTCAAAAATACTATAATGATCAACCGTCATCGCTGTCCAACAAAAGGGTAGCATCAAAGTCGATCATTTAGCATTAAACAATTTTTGATAATGTTCTTATGTCTAATAATCATCATTTGATAGAGTTGGGCGCCGAAATTCAATATAGTTCCAAAACCAAAAACTATATCTGAACTATATAGACGTCCAACTATATATAGAAAGATCTATTACCATGCATCTATCCGAGCCCAACTGAATATTATGTTCTGCAGCGTAATGATAGTTTTTGAAACAAGAATTTTTTTATACGCAATATTGGTTCGTTTTTGATATTAAGATACAAATAATCAATTAGTTTGAATTATCTGAAATACTGGAGCGAAACCTCGCAATATTTCTTTATACGATCTTAGGTAAGTACTTTTAGTTTATATCGAGAACTCTCATGATATAAACAAAAATTAATGGTTAGAATATTTCAAACCATAAAAATGCTATCTATTAAAATTAATTAATTTCATCAATAATTCTCCGCCATAATCAAAGTCACCAGTGCCGTCCAACCAGTAAAAGGATGACTAAAAACACAGCACAGAAGAAAAATTAAATTTAAATGTCAAAAATTGAGTGATCATATAAACAAACCTTCGGCGTCCTTTGCCGTTAAGCGCGGAATATTGTTCCCACGGATAACCTGTTCTTTCGTATTCCTTTAAAAAAAATGCGCACATTAAGAATCAAAATCCTACAAATTTTTTGCACGAAAAATTTACGCATCATAATTTTACCTGATACACGGTTTTTATTACATTTTTTCGTAATTCCTTGTATATCTTTTGAGCTTTTGATTGGTAAGGACCTGGTTTAGGCGCGTAATTCTATATAAATAGAAAAGTCAATGAATTAATTAATTAATAAACTATGATTTTTGTTGAGAGATAGAATAATACCTTATATATCGACGACAAAACTAAATAATTGATATTAATCCAAATAGGACCACGCCAATAATTTTCACCGGTATTGAAAAATTCATTAGATTTAGAAAGCGAACGCACACCGTATCTAGAATTTAGAATACCCATGAAAACTTTGTTAAGGAATCATGATTAACAACGTTAGTATAATTCTCAAAGTTAAGGAAAATTTTTAAACTTTTTTTTTAATTCAAGGATACTTCGACCATAATTCTTCCGGATCATCAATTATATCTAATATAGCACCCAGTTTGGGCGAATCGTGTGGAATTAACCCTAATAACATCGGGAATAATGACAAATAGCCTTTATGACATACAAAAACGGATTCGTCTAAATTTTTGAAGAAACTATATTAATTTTTTGTCCGAATTGAATTAAAATATGTAGATAAAAAAAAAATGATTTACCTTTTTCATTGACTGATAAATCGCAAAATGCTTGGTCCGTTTCGCTCCAATGCAAATCTAAATTTTATTGGAAAATAATAAAGTTGAAAAATCGTTGTACACAACTTAATATGCTTTTATTTATTTTATACCATGTAGATTTGCCACTATGTTATTATAATCATCCTCGAAATCCTCAGCATCATCTTCTTCATCTATCTTGAGAGCAATATCTTTGAGTGTTCTAGCCATGTACCCTACCCAACAAAGGAGATCAGTATGAAGCTCAGCAGGATGAGGTGGTGACGGACGAGGATAATCATCGAGACCTATCAAAAAATACTATTAATAAAAATAACATATTACATCCTATATTTACAATGACTAAAACAATACCTGATGTCAAGGTATGACCAGGAGTTCTACCTCTCCAACGATAAGCCTCCCTATTACTTGTAGCCTCTCTCCCCCATCCTTTAATCTCACCCCATTGAGTTCTCTTGAACCATCTGTAGTTAGCCTTGATTTTGGAATATATACGTCGTAAAGATGATTTGGCTAGATTACGATCCAATACATGCCGATTTGGAAGTATTCTAGGATCGTCAGTAGTGGCGATAATATCATCATCAAAAGGTTTTCCAATAGCATCTAATCAAAGAAAATTAAGTGACCAATTAAAAAAGACTATCATATCGTTAAGAAATGAATATTTCTTCTTACCATAAATGCGTTTTTTTTCATCGTCAACTTTATCTAGTCTCTCTATGTAAGCCATTATAGACATTAAAAGAGTGGGCGGATTCGCATAATGAGGATATTGTGTCTGAAATTCTAGCGGAACCTGTGATCGAATAAACAAAGAGGCTTAGTATTCTTGATTGGATAAATAAGAAAACCAAATGTATAATTTGAAATCGATACCTTGCTTCGAGCTTCTTCACCCAATATTTGTTCACGAGCCACCCATCCATCACTATCTATTAGGGACGTCCAATGCTTAATGACTTCCAAGCTGTGTAAAAAACCAATTGTGTTGGCTTATTTATAAATACTTGAACATAAATTTCATTTATAAAAAAAATACCTGAGATCATTATCCCATTTACCAAGTAAAATCTGGTGAAAGCCCTCGTCCCTTTTTAGCAACAAAAGTAACATGATGTTAATTTAACGTTGAAATAGAGGCGCATTAGCAATAGTTTCATACCAATAGAATCCACGTGGGAAAAAAGAACGAGATGGCGTTGCCGTGAATAATACAGCAGGTGGAGTCAATTGTGGATTGGGTACAGGTCGTTGAGTCCAAAACTGAATATCATCTTCATCCACTTCTGAAGCATAAGATCTGTCGACAATACTTGATCCATAGAAATAACTAAATGTAACGCGTAAAAATTTCTTATCAATATTGGAATATGAGAAAACGCTAAGAAAAATTGCGACATGATTTTTCAAGCGCTTACAGGAAAATAAATTACCCAATTCCTCCTATCAAGTTACTTAGGGCCATTTTCGCGAAATCAATTTCCTTTTCATTAAACCCTTTTTCTGATAATCCAAATGTTTTTTCGAATCTTTGATCAAATTCTCGTATGCTTGATTCGAGTCCTGATGTGAGACTAGCAGCTAATTTAAAAAAGAAATATTAATGGAAAAGAATAAGATATTTAATTGTTATTATTCATAAAAGTTTCACTTACTATCCATTTGAGTGGGTGAAGAATCAGAGTTAAAATATATGTCAAACTTGAAAGTTGGAATATGCAGAAATTTATAGGTTAATATATTTAATATATTTATCAGATGTAAAATTCATCAGAGAGAGTAAACCGGGAAATTACTTGGAATGGGGCTTCCACTATTTTCTGAAAAACGTAGAAATTAGAATCTTCCCGTACTTTATTTCGTAATGTAAACCAGTAAGGTAGCGGACGAGTACTTCCCTCGGCAATTTTGTTTTCCACGTTAAGAGTGATTTGTCCGTTTACATATTCTGCCAATATAATCAAAGTTTATAGATAGAAGTTCCAAATAAATCAAGGACAGTCTGCCTCTATGTAATCACCTCCCATATAATCACATCAGAGTAAATCTGTATACAATCACTCCTTTAAAAAAAATCTCACATGATGATCATATTAAAAAACCTCTATACAATCACACTTTCGGATTTTTGAATATGTGATTATATGGAGGCCGGACTGTAAATTTGTTAAATTTTTTAATTTACCTTTAGCGCGCCATATATCGTCGCCAGGAACGAGGTGACCCCAATATTGGGTCTTATGTAAATTTGGAAACGGATTGGATTCATGTGGAATATTTGAAGGTATTTTAAGATCCGGTCCTTTAGGATAAAATTCGAACGTTTTAAAATAAATAAAGAATACATATTATTTTTTTTCATTAAATAATAGAAAAAAAATACCATTTTCCATCTCAATTGAGAAACTTCCAAGTTCGGGAGATTCGCCTTTTAATAATATAGGATCACTCAATCCCTAAATTTTTTAGGGTATAAATATAATGTATATTCGACACAAATCGTGAACCATAAAAATAATTACGTCTGCATCTAATTTGTTCTTCAGCTCTAATGATCCTTCTCCGTTTAAGCCGAAATAATATAATATCGAGAGTCGCGATATTCCTTCTAGAAATTTGGAATTCAACGCATAAATAAAAACATATTAAGATTGTTTTGCTGACTATATAACGTGGACTCGCATCAATCAAACTCATAATACGACATTTTCAAGTTCTTTAATGGGATATCTATTGCGCATCTCCATTTAAAACTCGAATTTTAAACAAGAATGTGACTAACCTTCACGATTCGGAACCCCAGATATCCGTACTCCCCAATTTCCACCTTTTGTTCCAAAACATTGTCAAATAATTTTCTGATTGATAATATTAAACATGCAAAAATCAGTTAATCAATTCACCATGTTCGCCTCCCGGCACCTTTAAAAACTCAGTTTTCAAAGTCACGTTATTCGCGGAATCCGTAAGAGTTTGCACTGCCAAAGTACGACCATCGTGCTTTTTATAGCTGTATTCGTCTAGGTTATCTTCCTGCTCACAAGCATGACGAATTTCTAAATATATATTCGGTCAAGGAATCCGGATATTTTTTATAAGATATTCTTGTCACTGGGTCATATTGAATTGACTAATAAATGTCATCACGAGGCATACAATACAAAAGAGGAAAGAAAGGATACGTTGCCACTCTGTAAGGTCATCTACGCCAAACCACATTAAACCGGTCATGAGTGATTCCGGGAAACGTGGCCGCACTCCAAAATATAAGTTTGGTCTGTAAGTTCCCCACAGCAGAGACTGGTTTGTAGTCCGTGCGGCGCTCGCCTCCAGCAACATTTCCTCAAAAGGTTCAGCCGTGGCGATAGCATTTAACGCAACAAACACAGTAAAAGCAACGCAACTGATTGCGTATATAATAGGCAAATTTCTAAATGCATTGTTCTTGTTGGAAACCATATCTCAAAATACCAGTAAGATTAAAAATATTTCAAATTCAACAGAAAAATTTAAATTTTTTCGTTATCGTTATCATCAAATCTATCACTAACCTAAAGATTTGTCTAAAAATATAATTATAAATAACAAAAGTTGCAAAGCTTTTTTTTGGAAAGTAACAATAGGAGCTCTTACTATTCAAAAACATGTCTTCGGACCCACAACAAACGCAATCCGCTCAAGCTACAACCCAAGGCACCGAAGAAAAGAAGAGTGACTCGGGCGAACATATTAATTTGAAAGTCGTTGGAAGCGTATGTCATTTTTCCTGAATTTATAGCCAATCCTTCATTAGCTCGTAAACCATCGTCTTTTCGGGAGAGTCGTTATTACTATTCGCATTATCTTTCAGCTTGACAATGCTATATTTGACGATACTACGAAAATTACATGAAATGCACGCGTATAAATTTAACGTTGGTTCACTTTTGACATTACATATCAAAGGATCACAATGAAGTATTTTTCAAAATCAAACGAAGCACGCAACTGAAAAAACTGATGGAAGCTTACTGCGAACGTCAGGGTAAAAATATAACGCAGCTACGTTTCCTATACGACGGTGAACGTATACAACCCAATCAAACCCCGCATGAGGTAAGTAGTTTCTTCTTCGTGAAATGATAGTAAAAATTCAATAATTTGGATAATATAATACACTAATCGCTCAATATTATTTAGCTTGACATGGAAGATGGTGACGCAATCGATGTAATGGTTGAGCAAGTTGGTAAGATATCAAGAACAACGATTTCATTTTTCTTTTTGAATTCATTTTATCTAATTAAAATTATTGTTATCAATGAAAGGTGGCGATAATAACTTTACTATGATAAATAACACTTTGTGAGAGAATTTCGTAGCCAGACAATCACTGTCTTGTTCCAAAATCTCGCATTATATATATCATATACATGTTATATATAAGTATATATATATAAATACAATTGTGTAATATTTATCATTTTCATTACTCATAATCCTAGACAAGAGTTCCCTTCCCCTCCTCACTTTAGTCTTTACTTTCCTTCAATTTTATAATATTCGAAAACTACATCTTTTGTTTTTAATTGCAATTTATGTGGGATTCTTGCTGGTTTTTTTTTCTATCTCTTGCTAGATTATATACGTCATCATCTTGAATAGTTAATTAATATAATCTTTATATTTAGAAATAGTGGTATTAGCAATAATTTTTAGAGAGTTTGAGTAAAGACTTTTGCTCTGAAATAATGGCAAATAAAAATCGTTGAATCTTTCCAGTTTCTTATGCATGATTTTTTCTTGATCCGTGAAAATTATTTCAGTTCATATTTCAAACAGGTATTTCGTTCAATGATTATGCATACTTGATAAATCTATCCATCCCATTCATCCTATCCATGATCAAAAAAAAAACCAAAGTTCATTAAAGAAAAAAAACTATCCTCGATCACCTGTTATCCACGAGTCTGACTAATAATGAACGTTTTCAATTTTCTGTTACATAGATCTAATGGTGTTTTATCTTCTTTGTTCTTTCGTTCTAGATCACCACCGTATTCTATGAGTAATATGGCTGTATCGCCATGGCCTTCTTCACACGCTAAATGTCTAAAATAAAAATAGTAAAATTATTTATCACATCATCATATTGAAAAATTAAAGAAAAGAATAATAATATCAATTTACAGAGGCGTATTGTCAACTTTATCCGCAAGATTGGGGTTCGCCTTATGTTCTAATAAAAGACGAGTAAACACTGTATAGCCCAGCACCGCGGAACGATGACTATCCAAATAAATAAACATATTAACATAATTAGAGCAAAATGAGTAATAAAAAGAATTTGATCAAATACGTACAGTGGAGTCTGACTATTTTTGTCTCTGATGCTAACTGAAGCATCGTTCTTTAATAATAATTTTCCAATCTAAATAAAGCAAAGCAAAAACAAAAACAAAATAAAACATAAATAAAAATAAACAAATATAAAGCCTACGAATCAAAAATTAATTATTACCTCAATTTTATTCTTTGATGCTGCGTAATGTCTAGTAATAGAATTAATTGAATTAAGTAATAAAATTAGATCAATGAACAGAAATAAAGACATCATCTCACACTTTCTTTACAAAGTCATGTAACTTACAAAGCAGTCATCCCCATCTCATTCTGTTCATTAACATTTGCACCGGCCTCTATTAATTTTACCACTACATCTAAATGTCCGGTTGACGCTAGAATTTTAAATATCAATAATAATTATTGGCTTGGATAATAATAATAATAATAATAATAATAATAATAATAATAATAATAATAATAAACATTCTCGAGCTTGTTCACTAATTGAATACCTGCAATATGTAATGGAGTCCAATCGGCATCATCAACAACATTCACATCTGCACCTTGCTCTATCAGGTACTCGATTACATCCAAGTGACCACCAGATGCTTTTTATTATTGGTATGAATGATTAATCAGGATGTTTCTTTAAAGTGATATTTATTTATCTTCCAAACTCAACTTACCACCCCAATGTAAAGGAGTACGTGAATCCTATACAGAAATAATCACATTTGAATTAGTTCAAAATGCATAAAAACTTTACGAGTCACTAGAAAAGAAAAGAAAGGTCACTAGCTTACCTCGTCTCTAGAATGTATCGTCTTCTTTTCAGTCTCGAAGATGTCTTTAACGACCGCAAGCCGGCCTTCAAGTGCTGCAACATGTATATTCTTGTTAACTTTTTCTTTCGACATTTTTTTGCTATAATTTTTTTATATGCTCTTCAAAGAAATAGTTACCGTTACGTATTACCGTTACGTGTTCCCCGAATGAATTGCACCTTTTAATTATTTTCTTATCACATATCTTTCGGAGATATATGATAATACGCACGTGATTTTAATTAAAATTTTTCGAGATAAATTTATCGTAACAAATCAAATACCTTTTCTTCTAGTTATTTCATGCCTTTTTTTTTTTAATTCTTTGGAATTGACAATTAAAAATGAATTTGCTCTTTCCCCTAAATATGAAACCAATAAAACTTTCGAACCCAAGGAAATAAGTTATGTAGTGGGTAACGCTTCAGCATTCTGGAATGTAATTTTTGTTGCTACGTCGATTACCAGGGGAGATGTAATATCTATTCGACATCGAACATCGACATAAATATTAATAATAATGACAAAGGGAATGGAACTATCTAATTGTTGGTTCAATGTATGTGTTCCTCGTCAATTTCGGAAGCTCTAATTTATAAATTCTTGGTGCACCAATGAATCTATTGTATAAACGAAACGCACTAAAGTTTTCTTTTCTACCTATCAGCTAAAATTTCATCTGCTACCATTTCAGCAATCGCCAATGAAGAAGTGAGTCCAGGACTTTCAATTCCAATCAAATTAATGAAGCCTTCTAACCCATACTTGGTTTCCTCTTGGATAATAAAATCTCGAAAAGGTTCTCCAGGTGCTTGCAGTTTTGGTCTGTGGATATTTAATGATTTAGCGAAGCATGGGTTATTTTGCACGCAATATGCATAATAATATATTATAAAAAAAATTTTTTACCGGATCCCTGTATAATCTGCAAATAATGCATCTTTTCGGATCTTCGGCAGATAAGAGTTTATAGTTCGACAAAACTGTTCTTTGTAATCTTCATCATCGACAATGTCATAATCATAAGGATTATCAACGTATTGCACATCAGGACCAAATTTCATTCTTCCAGCAAGGTCCAAAATTAAATGATTTCCAAGATTGGCGAGATTTTTTGGTGGAACAGGGTAAATTAAACGGTTGACATTAACACTACGGCCACGACAAGTATAATATTGACCTTTAACGTAATATATTTTGTAAATTGAAGGGGTGGGTAGTATCATATTTGCTATTTTATCTGCGTGTAATCCTGCCGCATTAACAACTATCCTTGCGGAAATAATTGTAGAGTTTGTCAATGATTGATCGGTAGAATTCGCAATCTCTACTTTATATTCACTATGATCTTTTTCAATCCCAACAACTTGAGAATGCAATGCCAAATCCCCATCTTGTTCCCTAATATTTGCTTCCATCCATCTCATATACGCGTGGGAATCAAAAATACCAGTAGTTGGGGAGACCAAAACTTCATGCGCTCTAACGTCAGGCTCCTGTTTTTCTTGTTCGTGTTTTGACAGAAAATAGGTCTCCACGCCTAGTAAATCGGTTTTCTTTTTCAAATTCTGTAAATATTCCGTTTGTGATTCGTCTTCGGATACTATCCATTTGCCGACACGTCGATATGGAATATGTGATGTTGAGGATAAGAGGGAATAAAGTAGTTCTTTTCCACGGATGCAAAGACGCGTTTTCAAAGAATCATTTGGATAATATAACCCAGCATGAATAACTTCACTATTTCGGGAACTATTATTTTTAATTGGATATTAAAAGTTAAATTGTGATCTATCGATTTTTTTAGTTATATAAGTTGGGGGAAAATTTTATTGCCTGGTCTCTGCGCAGAACGACGCGTTTTTCTCGACAAGCAAAGTCTTACGATGATTTCGACGAGATAATCTATTAGCAATAGCGAGTCCTACCACTCCACCTCCAATAACTAGATAATCTACCGAAAATTCGGGCGACTTTTTTAATAGAGTTGAAAGATATCTTTTTCGGTGTGGATTACATGAAAGATAACCGGAAAATGTATTCATATTTGATGTAGACGATTACTTGATACTTGAGGTCATTATGATTAATATGATTTGATTGGTCGATTAAGTGATCTAAAAACGTAGTTTTTGCATCATTTGACGCTTGAATATGCATATGATCGTGCAAATACATGTAATCCAAATTTGCGAAATAGTATCTTTATATTGTCGAATACGCGTGTATAACTCTTTTCATTGAGAATAATCTAGACTTTAACATATACTGTAAAATGTCTATAGAATCAAAAGTTTACGTTTCTTATAACCAAGTACATCAAATGGCGGGTATTTGTACTATAACACTAACTTCTCACTAAAAAAAAAAACCATGCAATGTGTTTTAATGCTTTGATATCTTTCACTTTACGTTTTCTATCGTTAATTCGCTATAGATAAAAGATACTGTTGAACGTTATCGCATTAATGAGGATTTTAAACCTGACCTAATGATTGCAATAGGTGGTGGTGGCTTTATACCGGCTAGAATTCTGGTATGTCAGTTTTGGAACGATTCCCGTGCGAATTAACATTCAATTGGATATGATCTTTCTATCACAACTGAATATTTGTTCCTTTTAACAATTAGCGTACTTTTCTAAAACGTCAAAACAACAAAAACATTCCTATCCAAGCTATAGGACTCTCGTTATACGAGGATCTGTATGTTTCAAACGAAGATGAACAAGCAGAAAACGCCAAGGCACTCGGAAAATTGGGAAGTCAAGTAATAAAAACTCAATGGTTACAATTTGGTCCGCCGGTTGCCACAACACTTTTAGGAAAAAATATTCTGATTGTGGATGAAGTGGATGATACACGCACGACGTTGGCATATGCAGTTGAAGAACTGAACAAAGACATTAAAGAACTGAGACAAAAATTTATTCTGGAACATCCGGGAATGAACCCTCCTGAAACTCGATTGGCTGTGTTTGTATTACATAATAAGCTTAAAAAGAAACGGATGGAAATATCAGATGAGTCAATTGTTAATGGTGGAAGATATTGGGCTGCAAGAGAGGTTCCTGATAAATGGATAGTGTACCCGTGGGAGGCTGTTGATATCGAAGATCATACTGAAAAAAGTTTGATCTATACATGTAATTGAGAAAGAATATTATCCCGAAATGACAATTTATTAAATATTTATAAGAATTTTTGTTTATTAATAAACGCAGATTAGAAAAAAAACGCTTATTGTTACGTTTAAAGAAATCAATGTTACTAGATATTCAGATGAAACAATACGTTATTCAATTCTAATTGAATATTATTCATAGCACGATTCAACTTTATCCTAAGGTCATATGCTTCACGTGATTCAGGATTTTCCGATTCGATGGTCGGAATTTCATATTAATATTGTCAATTTGTCATTTATCTAAATTTTCGTAGATATGATGTTTCAATTTCAAAATCGATTCAACACAGAAGCAAAATTTTTAGAATTCCAACACCTTTGTAGAACTTAATACAAAGAGCAAAGTTACTAATTTTGCCTCTATATTCAATCGATTGAAGTGCCGATTGATAATAGATAAAATGATGTTAGAATCTAGTTTTTGTTGAAAATCAAAGATGTTTAAAAATCGTTATTAGCTAAAAACTAGAGATTGAACTTTCGGCATCCTTTTCACAAATTCTCGTGAGATAAATGAAAAAAATATCCGGTATAACAATAAGCTATAGTATAGCTGATAAACTTTGTCTTCATTAAATAGTTTGGAACATACAAACTTGTAGATATCGATGAATTTACAGTATTGAAATAATAAAGTGGAAATGTCGATATGATAAAATTATAAATTATTCAACTGTTTGTAAGAGTGTTATTCTGTATCTAATCTCATCATTTAAGGCACAAGAAGTTCATGTCTCAAAGCTATAACATATCTGCAGCTCAAGCGTGATCAGATATTCAAATTGGCTGGGTCGGTACCAATTTGAGCATAACCAATAAAGATAGGTTCTTTTCCCAGAATATTGATTAAATGGTTTAAATTTTTTATGCCATTTCAAAATATTCGTAGTTATTCCAGCTATGCTATTAGAAAATTTAACGATATAGCACTTTAGAGCTAGCTTGCACTTTAGAAGCTGCTCATTTTTTACCACTCTAATTTGCGGAAATTTTTGCTCAGCCCGGCAAACACAAGATATAAATCAATCTTAACTCTAATCCTAAACCTAACTTTAAACCTGTAGAATTTTCCGGGATAGACACAGCTGTTCTCAGCGTTCTCATGATAATTGAAAAACAAATATGTTCACTATTGAGAACACACAAATACTTAATTATGAAGTATATTTAGCGTTCTCAATGAGAACATTAAATTGAAGTGAGAGTTCCAACACTAGATAGACAGATTCTATAAATTATCAAAATTATCACTGTTACGAGAGATAATTATTCAATTTTTATGTTGAGCTATACCTTCCATTTGCGTTTAAATGACATGTTCTATAAGCGGAGGATTTTATTCTATGAATAAATAATTAATCTTTGTAATGCAAGCGGATAAACCATTTTTTTTTGCATGTACAACTTAATATCGATTCAATGAAAACATCAGATCAAAAATTATCGGTATCCTTATTTCAAATCAATCTTCGTTAAGATAAAGCAAAATTCTTTTATGCTACATGAAAGATACAAGAATGTATTTTTCTCGTCATTATATATTTTTATTTCCGATTTTTCAACCTTTATACCACTTCATTATTATTATTTATCTATCGTTTAAAACAAGGTTTTAAGTTGCTTAAGGACATTTTGAGATATGTAAGCTTGGTTATTTCCTTGTTTCAATAAAAATGAAATTTATTTGATCCTTCCAATATGTTTTCAATAAAACGTATTGCTAAAAAATCAAAAATCAAGAGATATTGTATTAAAAATGCGAAGACTACTAAAAACTCACGACTTGGTCGACACAAATTTCTTATAAATATAAAGACTATTGATCTGATCTTTTAAAAAGGTTGGCTACAATCTTAGAAATATCAACGGGTCGAACTCGCGATTGAATTTTATATTTCAACCGAGTGATGTTGTGACCCGAAAGATGGCGAACTATGCCTGAATAGGAAACTCTGGTAGAGGGCTTGTAGCGGGATTGACTAAGCTAGTTTTTTTTCGATACGAGTTTCTCGATTTTTGTTAGAATATGTGAAATCCCGCACCGTTGCTGAGAAAATCGGGGCTGTAGTATGAGAAAGTGGCTGAAAAGAGGTTTTTTTTGCATTCGGAAAACCATTACAAATTATAGTTAAGTAGCACCTAACAATAGTTCATTTATTAATAAAAGTGACGAAGTGACATCATAAGAGCGAGATTAAAGGTTGCATTTGCAATTTTTTGTGAATTTACATCATTCGGCATTAATAACCATGAAAAGCACCAGATAGGCAAAAAAGGTGAGATTGGATTTCATCAAATTTACGGATGCGTATCATAAAAAATAGAGATGCAAAAAAATGAATTTTCAATTCTGGAAAATAATCGAAGATAAACTCTACAAGTTTGGAATGGGTGCAAATACGAATGGTAAGTTATGGTTTTATTTTTCAAAGATATTTTCCTAAAAGTCTTTGAATTAATTTGTCATGGATACGAAAGATGAAATTATGTTAAGAAATATTTACGGAACCTGAGCTTGATGTACATATAAATTCAACCCACTGTCAAAATATTTTTCGAGATTTATTAGTGTGTATCTTAATAGTTACCAAATAATAAATATTTTTCCGTAATATGTGCCTCAAAACATATACACAGACCTATTTGGCACATTCAACATAGTCGAATACTCTGATTTTAGAAGATTAATGAATGAATGGAATCAACCTTACAATCGTGAAACTGATTTGATTGAGTTTGGATCAGAAAAACAGCTGTTTACAGAAAAATCTAAATGCACGAACTTGGATTTTGACGTCCTGCCTTATCCTACAGGGTTCGTATGAAAGCAAAAAATATCGCCGGTAAGTCTGTTTGATGTTGCAATTTGACCTCTTGTAAATATAGGATTTGAAAATATAAGACGTTCAAAGTGTGAGGTATACTCTTTAAATTATCAAATCATTCTCTATCATATTTTCTAATAATGGAGAATCGTGTAATTTGGTATCTATGACAAAGAAAACTCATAATCGCGGCATTGACACCATTGATTCTTTGCAAAGGAATCATGGACGGGGAGATTGATCACTCAGCTGGGTATGGTTGTGGAAAAAGAGACAAGTGTTTCGAAGATGAAAAACACTTCAGGAAAAGAGATCAAAAAGCCAAAGGCATCTCCGATAGCGTTTATGTTAGTATGAAAGAACAGGCTCGAGTCGATTAGAGTTATACACCCAAAATGCTTGTAATTTCCACAACATAGCCCTTATCAGCTTTTTAAAAATTCCTTCACGAGTCACAAAGCTCTCTGACATGAAAAGTATAGGTTTGTACTGTGCGTGTTAATTTATACGAGCAAGATAACCTATTGTAGTGCTTGTTATAAAAATTATTCTCAATAAATGATGTAATTCAACTTGTGAAGCAAGCCGAAGATATTGGAGAAAATATAATGAAAAAAATAGTTCTTTAAGAAAAGTTATTTTAATTATGGATATTGCTCGGAAAAATTGATGCCACTTTTTTGCAAAGAAAAAATAATTCTTGCGAAACACAGAGTATTGGAAGGAAAGAAACAAGAACCAAAATTATATACAGTCAATTACACTGTTGGAATCTCATATACAGTTAATTACATTCATTTCAAATTGGTGGTGTTCTCGATGAGAACACAATTTTAACTTTTACTGTTCTCATCTAATTTTCTTTCTCACATGAATCTCGCTAATATAAAATATGCAGTATTTTGTGCTCTCAATAGAGAAAATCTTCATATTCTTACTGAAGAATTCGTATTTACACGAGAATGCTGAGAACACAGATTTCACAACACTGAGTCCAATAGTAATTTTTATAAGAATATGAGCATAGAGAGGTGATTTTATTATGTCTGGTCTTGAGAAGAGTGTGATTATAGCAGGATTTCGATTGTAAAATTACATATTAACATCAACTTGTATGTACTGATTTTCTGTAAATTCAATAACATTGCTTGGAAAATTTCACAATACAAATCCTGATGCTCTATGTTATTATCCTTATATAGCATATCTATATCCAATTTAATAATCTTTGCAATTTTCTCTAAAATGATACAAGATTCTTTTCTTTTTGAACCATGATAGTGTAATGTGAACCTACCAATTTTCATGCATTTTATTTCGGAACACAATAACTAGACATCCGATTGTTTGATTTGAGCCAATAACACATTTAAATGGTGATTTTTTTCTCAATCGGATGTTATCATGTCCCGAAATAAAATGGGAGAGTACACGAAAATTGGCAGGTTCGCCTATCAGTATTGAAACAATATTGACAATATCGTATTAGGTTCAAAGAAAGGATACAGTAATTGGTGATGTAAGTGAACAGTTAATTTAGGCAAATAACATGTACCGTATATGATTGAAAATAAGAACCCCGAAAATCGGCATTTCGAAAATAAAAATCAGGAAGTTTCTTATTTTTGAGACTTTAATATTGCACACTAGCATAGTGATCGATAAAATCCATAAAATTTCCATTTCTACCCACAGAACTATAAAAATACCTACGGGTAATATGATCTTATTTTTTTGATGTGAATACGTAGCTTCCGAGGTATGTAATTATAGAATGTAATAAATTCATAATGCAAAAAATCGAAAGTTTCTTATTTATAGGGACTTATCATTTTATGATATCGATCTCTGCACGTGGTGCCACGAGAGCCATATCACGGGAACCCAATCACGGGATAACATCCAAATTAGGGGAACCGTTAAAGGACCACTTTTCTCGGACCACTTTTCTCGAACCAAATTTCAAATTTCCTAATATGAGTTTTACCCCTGATATAAGCCACAAGCCACAGATTGATTCCTAATTTGGATAAATGATGCGGCATAAATATTTCGTAGTGGTCGACTGGCAATGGATGATATTGTGAAATATCAACAACATACATGTAATTCATTGCCGAATTTAGACTTAAGAAATACATAAATTTTTTCTCATGTAATAATGTCATTAATAAAATTTAAAATTTCTAATTCAAATAAAAAGAGAGGTACTTACAATTCACGCAAAGATATTAAGCTAAATTCCCATCTTTTATTAAAAGAAGAAGATCAAATTAAACTTACTAACTTGCTAAATAATAATACACCTGGTATAATTAAAATAAAATGGGATCCATCTATTGAAAGTCATATCAAACACCGTAGACAATTTCTCTATGAAAATGAACTTGATATTGACTCAGATAATATGCAAAACAAGTGGTTAATCTAACAATTAAATTCAATAACAATAATTAAATAATATATATGTGGAAGTTATCGAGAAAGAGTCATCAAATCCAATTCTCAAGTCTCAGCTGCACGGTACCCCTACGTTAAATACCTCACCTTTATTATAATTTCTCTCTGAGCTAATGAAATTCGTACCATTACAGGATACCTAGAACATTCAGAGCAATGTAAAGCCTCCCAACCATAACGCGACTCACCATATTGACTTTTACCATATATGAGGAAAAATGCTGAAAATCTATTAACTTTAAATGTCAGTACTGCAAATATTCTTGCACAAAATGCAAAAATTATACAGAATATATTTGGAAAACGTACTTTGATTGGAAATTCCAGAATACTACTCACGGCAATGGATATTGCCAACATTAAAAAACAAATATTCTGAAAAAACTGGAATATTAATATTAGTAATGATATCGCAAAAAATTTAGAACAAATTCTTGGGCCAGATACCGATCAATCAGAAATCAAGAAAGGATATTTACATTACCAGCCCCATACCAAAGACACTAATCATCTGGAGATCATTATTTGCACTTCAGAACAACAGGAATACGCATAGAAATATGGATATTAGAATCTCATCCTCATCGATGGAATCTATAAAATTAGCAAACATAAACTTCTTCTATTCATTATTATGGTCATTGATAAAAATAGCAAAGAAATTCTGATTATCTTCATTCTTTTCATGCTGTCTTCACATAATCGATTAACATCATCTGGATATGACAGTAAGATCCTGAAACGACTTTTTTCTATCTTTCATGACAAAATCAGTATTATCTATAACCAAAATCAACTTGCAGTAAATTCGAATGTCAATTTAACTACGTTTACTCCTCTCGTTGCAATGACTGATACTAATGTTAAGAAATGGAGACCATTGTCGAAAGTATAGCCAGAAATCATTCTACTTCTTTGTTACTTCTACATTAGTCAATGTTGGAAGAACGAGATCAATAAATAATTAGATTGAGATAGTAGTAATAATACAATTTTGCAATAAAATACTTTGAGGCTATACTTACGAAGTGTATTGAAGGAAGCTTGGTTAATGGATGGTAATGAAGATATTGTCTGCAAGTTTATCATAGAGAGAAGAGAATTATTAGAAAATCTTGTCAGCGAGATGAATATTTCAGAAAGCATACATAATATTTTGAATGACAGAGTAAAGTTTCTCACCTACCTGGAAAAGCAGTGGGCCGGCAGTCTTTTATATAGTTGATATCTTAATGGATGCAAGAGAGCTGCAAATGTTCTTAGAATTCCTCTCGAAAAACTACCTATCACGAACAACCATCTCGAAAGAATTAATGAGTATTTAAAGAACAATTAATTGAAATGATTTCAAAGAAAGGGTTATCTTCTCAAGACCGATATACTTTATATTGCCCTCGTATCTGAAATAATATCTAATATTTTTGTACTATGAAATCTTGCCATCAATCTTGAAAAAGAAAAAGCGGAATAACATAATGAATTTAACATAATGGATCTATCAATTTGTGAAATTCTTATGCAGGAATTTCCTCAGGTAGCTTACTTTGCTTCAAGTCCAAATCGTGACAAATCTGCAAAAAGATTACTTCAAATGAAGAAAGTGATCAATTATGAACTAGAGAAAGAAACCAGAAAACTTTATGTTTGAGTTGAGTCAGAGATTATACCAGAGCTTATTTATATCACCTGTATACATGGACAGCTGGCAGATATTTGTTATCAATATCTTGACTTTCTCCAGAATAGAATCATGTGTAAACATCTCTGTGCTACAGTTTTCTATATTGATGAGCTTCATAAATAAGAATAACATACATATTTATCTCGGATGATCTTTGCAACTTGACAAGAAGCATGAAATATTCATCGCAACTTATACATCAATCAATCAGCAATATCAGCAAGTTTGGAAAGCATCATAATAAATAATAATGACAATAATGATTATGATGATAGTAATAATGATAATGATAATAATGATTGTGATGATAGTAATAATAATAATGATAGTTATAATAACAGTGAAGAAGATAATAGAAGCTTCACACTGATCTTATTCAGAGAAATTCTTGGTTATATGGCATATATTCTAGGTATACCTAACACTTTGACAGTAATGTTACTATCTAGCACATCTGCACCGACACAATCCTTGTCTAATTCAGTCAATGTTATCAATGCAAATACTAATGCTATTTGCAAACAAGAATTTGAAAACTTTTTATTATCTATAGCAAAAAGTATGCAGATATTACGAGAGAACTTAGTAATTCTTTTAAACTTGCTTTAATCTAAACTATCACCAACACAAGAATAATCTAATGCTACTGATGCTAATAATCAATATACTCTGACAACTTATCTCCATGATATAGTCACTTCAAACGCCTTCAAGCAAAGTCAACATCTAATAGATATTATGTGTGAAAACCAAAGTTCCCAGAAGTGTCCAGCTCCTGTTGCTGATGTTTTTCTACTAGAGCAAGAAATCAAACAATGTCATCAATATCCATCTTACGTAAGTTTATAAAAAAGAAACATAGATTACAATCAAGTTAAAAGAAAATATAAAATAAATAAAAATAAAATTTCATTATTGTGCAAGCCAAATAAATTCGAAATACTTACAAAAAAAATGTCCTCCTTTGCGACTCACAAAGCCTTGATAAAAGGTTTGTTCAGTAAAGATACTCGCAGTCAAGGGCTGTGATTTCCTTTAAATCAGCAAATGCTAGGATTTTTTAAATTAAAACAAATCACAATCCTAGACCATTAGCATCTTTGTGTACTGCAGCTTGTCAAAAACCAGCTTCGGTCAGAGTCTAACACATATGTAAAAATAAAGAGGAGATCAGTTCCCAATCTTTTTTTCCTTTTGTTATGCAGTCATGTTCCTAACTGTTTTCTTTCACTACATGGT